CCTGCTGAAGACAGACACACCACGAAGAATTGGTCACACATCAGAAAGAGGATTTGTTAAAGGTACTTCCATATGAAAGCAGAGAGGCAAGGTAACACAGTAAACAGAAGGCTGGAGCATGAGTCAGGAGCCTGTGTTCTAGCTCCAGAACCACCATTAACTTCTTGTGCGACCCTGGCTAAGTCCCCTTTTCTTGCTGAGCTTAATTTTCTTTACCAATAGAATGAAAATAAAATGGTCCCCCTCAAGGTTCCTTTTAGCTCTAACATTCTGATTCAATTGGGCATGTGCAAAATGGCCAATTTGCCAATTGTCTGGAGAGAGGAAATTTAATATCACTTGTCATTTGACTTATACTAGAGTCATTTTGCTAAAGAAAGAACAGGAAATATCACACAAGCAGGAAGTTCTCGTGTTAAAATAACTTAACCACAGGCCTCCCTGCACAAGTCACTTCCTCCCTTATCTGTTCACAGCAATAACGAATTATAGGCAATGAACTTTCTAGATTAAACGTTTTAGGGAGTTAGCTCCAAAGGAAGGAATATGCTGTGACAGAAGAATTTCCAGCCAGGACACCAAGTATTCACCACTCAAGGTATTCTGCTGGCTTATATGCTGCTTACCTTTTGCAGCACTGTCTGCATACCCACAGTGCATGTCAGAGGCCTGGGAGACTGCCTCCAGGCGGCCCACCGCTCTCTCCAACCTTTCTACCAGATTTTGCATGTCAGCCATAATGTAGCACCTGCTGAAACAGATCAAATGTCATTTGTTGTTTTAATATTACATAGAACCTAGGGAGAAAAGAAAAAAAGAATACCCTGGGAGTGAAGAGGATGCCAATTCTGAGGAACAGAATCATTTTACAGTAAAATAAGACGGAAGATAGTCTAGCATATTTGCAAAATCATAAAGACTTCATTAAGCAAAAGAACTACCCAGGAAACAGTGTTAACTGAAAGCAAATGCTTACTCATTCAAATACTTACTGAATACTTACTATGGTATCACCAAATAAATATTTGTGTAAGAATTTAGAATTTACAAAGTACAGTCTCATATATTATCTCAATTTAAGCCTCTCAACAACTATTTAGGAATGGAAAGATAATTACTATACTCTCAGAGACAGGAAACAATTTCAGTGAAGTTAAATGACTTGCCTATAGTCTCTCAGTTAGCTGGTGGGGAAGCCAGTCCTCAAATTCAAGCCTTCTGGCTCTAAGTTCTGTGTTTTTTCCTACAATATCCTGCTGCCTACATATGGAATGCCCATAACCAAGATGAATAGGGTATTTATCCTGCCCCCAATAACTTACAGTCTAATAGAGGCGACTTTACATGTGCACTAACAACTGTAAAACAAATAGAAAAAAAAAATTAAGGTGACATAAGTTGCAGAGAGAATAACACACGATTTCAGAGAAGGGAAGAATATGTCAGCTGGAAGGATCAGATAAGGCTATTATGGCAAAGCTTCCAATTGAACAGGCTTCAAATGAGGGTGGGTAGGATCTGAATACACAGCAGGGAAGGAGAAGAGACACACCCAGAGAGCTTGTTACAGATCTTTCACAAGTACCAACTTATCTGAACTAGCCTCATTCAATGTCTAATATCCTAAAGAAAGTAAGCTCCAAAAGAGAAGGGACTTTCTCTGGTTTGTTTCCTAAGCAAGTTTATCCTCTACCATCTAGACCACTACCTGGCAGGTAGAAGGTGTTCAATAAATATTTTAGAAGTTAATGAACCTGAAGTATAGTATCCCAGAACTCCAGAGAGACAAGGGTTCTGAAAGTTACCCACAAATATACATAAATGAGTGTTAATGTTATCAATATACATCGACATAAAGTGCTTTAGACTATAGGTGATCTCATAAAAATTAGTCAGTGTAATCACAATCAAAGACTTGACTTGGAGAGATTCCATTTCAAAGCGTTAATTTATTCAGGCAACTGAAGCCGAATGAACTCAACTCCCTTGAAGCCACCTAAAATGACCATAGCAATTGTAATTCCCTCAAAGACAGCTACATGACAGAATATCTCATTTAACACACAGTCTTCCCTGTGAAAGAGAGAAGCAACTCAAAAGATAAACTAAGGAAGACAATATCATCCCTGTCCATTCTTTTCCGTGTACAGGCTCTGATCTCTCAGAGCTCAGTGATTTGCCAGAGAATGTTGTTTAAAAAAGAATCAAGGAAAAAAATAAGAATGCGAACCAAATAAAACTTTCCATTCGCCAGCCTGAGAGGTAGCAGAAGCCTCCAAATCTGTACTCTACTCAAAATGGAACAGACTATGGAGCAGACTAGAAGCATCCAATATACTCTCCCTTATGTTATGGCACAATCACCCAAATATCCAAACTGCTGCCCTGTTCATTCTGGGTACTATCCAGGGACAGACACATATAATCCACCACACTCTGTAAATCCCAGGGGAAAACGCAGTGACTGCAATAAACTCCCAAGCTACCTTGCATTAATAAATACCACCCATTCTGTTATAAAACATGTTCCTTCGGACATAATGGATACTATAAGTTCCGGCCAGTGTGAACATGATAACACAGTACAAGCATCTCTAAAGGCTGCCAGGGTTCGTGAATACTTACCAATCTGAAAAGCTTAATAATACAGCTTCATGGATTTTGGTTCCTTCTTTTCCATCTTTTACTTGTACTTTAAGCTTTCAATGCTAAACAAGCTATGGTTCTGCTGTTTAACTTAAGCAGAATGAGAAAAGACAAAACAGCTATCATTATAGCTAATCTCATTCCACCACTAATCAAATATAGGAGAACAGTTCCTAGTTTTTTGTTTTTGGTGGGGGTGGAGTGAAATTTGAGATGTTATGGGAAAGAATGTCTAGAATTGAAGGACCAAAAGACACACCTTGTCTTATTCTTTATGTACTCATATTTGTTCTTTAGGTGGTCATGTCCACTCCAAAGCTGTCAACTACCATTATCGCGTTACTATCCAGTCCACTTGCTGAGTGATACCACCACAACCACCTATAGACTAACAACTCCCAGAGCAGTGTATCCAGCTCAGGCCATCCTTCTGGGATTCAGAATTCCACCTAGACATCTCTACCTGGATGTCCCAAAGGACATCTGAAATGTCCAAAACAGAACTCATCATTTTCCCTAGCACTGCTCCCACAGACTCACTGTCTCAGTAATCCAGCAGTACCAGCAATCAAGACAGTAACCTGGAAACTGTTAAGCAGTACAGTATAGTGGTTAAGAGTGTTGTTCTTGGGGCTCCCCTGGTGGCGCAGTGGTTGAGAGTCCGCCTGCCAATGCAGGGGACACGGGTTCGTGCCCCAGACTGGGGGGATCTCACATGCCGCGGAGCAGCTGGGCCCGTGAGCCACGGCCACTGGGCCTGCGTGTCTGAAGCCTGTGCTCCACAACGGGAGAGGCTACAATAGTGAGAGGGCCGCGTTACACAAAAAAAAAAAAAAAAAGTGTTGTTCTTTAGAGAAGTCAGAGAGACTGGGAGTTTGAATAGTGGTACTCACTGGCTCTGTGTCTCAGTGTTACCAAACTTTCTCAACCTCAGCTTCCTGATTTGTAAAACAGGGACGACAACAATATAAAATCCAAAGGGCTATAGTGAGAATAAATGAGGAAATACATGTGGAAGTGACTGGCTCACTCAGTCCTGAAAAATGGTTAGGATTCCATAAACATTAACTAAATGATCTCCTTACTAATCTCATCAGTCAGCAAAATCCATAGGCTCTATCTTGCATATCATAAATAGATGCCCCTGTCTTCATCCTGATTGATAAAAATTCGGTCATCATGACTTTGCCTAGATTACTGCAATAACCTCTTCACTAGTCTCCTCTAATTCCAGTTACAAACCCTCCTCTTTATCCATTCTCCTTATTATCACAGTGATTCAGAGTAAAGTCCAAGCAAGGGTTTCCATAATCTGGCCCTGCTTTATTTCCTACCACTCTGCCAGCTTTAACTCCTGCCACACCTCTCCTCAACATTCTACAGCAACCCAGAACTACCTGCATTTTCCGGAAAGAGTTATGCTTTCTCTCACTTTTGAGCCTTTACAGTGCTATCCACTCTGCTTGGTTGCTTTCCCTTCCCAACCTGTTCCTTTTCTCATAACTCCTACTGCCTTTCTCAGATCCAGCTAAGGTGTCACCTCCTCTAGGAAGCTTTTCCAGTTTGGTATGTTTTCCATTCTCAACCTGCCCCCTCTCCAGAATTCCTACTGTCCATTCAGTCTCAGCCAAGGTATCACCTCCCCAAGAAGCATTTCCAATATGTGTTCCCACATACCACTGTGTACTTATCTCTACCACACTTTAACACACTGGTTTAAAATCACTTAATAGTCAACAGGCAATCAGTCACTCTACAGAAGAGACCATGTCTTGCCTTTGTAATTCCAGTACTATAAACATGGTAGGCACTATAAATACAATAGGTTAATAAAGGTCCTTGGGAAAAATAAATACATAAGTGCCTTTACCCCCTCTCCCCTCAACGCAAGTCTGGTTATCTCCTCTCTGTGTCAAATCTGGGGAGAAGTGTGTGTGTGGGGGGGTTTCCTTTCTTTAAAAAAAAAACATTTTTTTTGCCTGTTTGTAGGCTCTAGCAAACATTCCCATCTTTCAAATAAACGCTGCCTTCTTGGGCAGAAATTAAATTGATATAGAGATCTTCAAACCAAGTGCCATAAGGCAGATAACCTTGTTTATTAGATGATATAATATTAGTTAAAAACAGAACTCCCTTAGAGTTTTAGGTGCTTTATATCATCAAACTGCTGCTTCTTTTGAGACTTAAAATAATTCTGTGACATATATTATAAAGATACTGATCCCCATCTTTAGAAAGAAGAAACTGACAGAAGTTAAAAAGCTTGCTAGGTATCAAACAACCGGTGGGAGAGAACCTAGCTTTGAGCACAAATTTTCTGAGGCTCTTTTAAGCAATTAAGTGACTAACGGGTTCATCACAGCATGCAGCCCCAGCTGTTTGCTAAGCACAGCACTGTGGGTTCAAGGTCTCTTTATGGTGTCTTTAGGCACATTATTAGCAGCTTTCAATTCCTCTGCTCTCAATTTCCTCTATGGAGGCCAATATTTTTTCACATTCAGTAGACGACACATGTTTGGAAAGCAAATATTTAAAATAGGGTTTTTCCCAAGAATACAGAATTGCCAGAGCAGAAAACTATAGCTCTGCCTAATCTTGCTCCCTGCCATTTCTGACTGATAGTAGCCAAGAACTATATGTAAGCCTCCGTAAATGAAGGTACAGATTCCCAACTATTTAAGCATTCATCATAAGAGCTTCAGAAGGAGAGGCAGTCCTAATTACCTAAGTCTAAATAAAACTTGGATTCAGGAGACCAAGGTTTAAGTCCCAATTCTGCCACGTATTAACTGTGTAAGTTTAGGATAGTCATTTAATGGACCCTCACCTAGCACACAGAGATGTAAGGATCAAAGGAGTTGGTCTTATAGATGAGTAGTTACTTTGGGAGCCTTAAAATGCAGTTCAAATGTAAAATGTTATTGCTGCATACCATGTACTAGAATACAGGCTCCAGAAACATGGCAATTTATCCATTCTCCCCACCCCTGCTCCCCCAGATGCCCCCACCCTCAAAGTCTGCAGCACCTAGAACAACCTGGCACACAGAAGACACTCATAACATGAAAGTCCTTAGCATTGTGACAGCTACT